TTAAGGACATGGTGTCCTTAACTTAGAGTTACGAGCACTGAAATAAATGATATTACCTTGATGTCATTTTGAATCTTTCTTTCTGATATATCTATTTTTTGATTTATTCTAGTAACTTCTGCCTGCATATCCTTTTTAAACTTCTTCGATAATCTCTGAATCGAAAACCATAAAAACAAAAAAGTCTCTTAAGCAAAAATAATCAAATAAAAAACTAATGCTATTCAAAGACAGAAAACCTACTTTAACAATTTCCTTAAGCAAGGCTTCATCAAATTGTGTGGAGGAAGGCATTGAACTTTGATCTTGAGACAATGGCTCATCCGCACTAACAGGCTCCGCATCTTCTTCAATAGAAACAAATGGTGCCACCTCGATCAACTTATACACCTATTATATAAGGAAAAAAAACGTAAGTTTTCAGAACTAAAACACATAACAAAAAAAATAGCTAGTAATCAGATTAACTTACATTTTATTTATGGAAGTATTTTTAACACAGAGAATCATATTGTGGAGATTTCATATCTGAATAACATAACATCCGAGGAAACCCACATTCTCTGAAGTTCACAAATTGTTTTTCCTGGAAAATTGGGAATACTTCCATAATCCAAACACAAAAAGCGAAAGGGAAGCCAAGTATAGTATAATTGTCCTTGTCTTTATCTTTCTCTTTCTCATTCTCATTCTCATTCTCATTCTCATTGGGCTTCAAACAACTCTTCAATGATTTTACTAACATTTCATAACAAAGAGAGACCCAGTTGAAAGAAGAGCAGAGTTCATCGTCATCTACAATTTTCATTAGCTGCTAGGACACATTCTGATTCTTCCGCTTCCCCATCAAAACAGATTCAATAAAATAAATTATTGCCAACTTCACCGCATCATAATCGCTACCTACAAATGATGCAGCTGTACCATCTGGGTGACTAGTAATAAAATTAGACAAATCGCCTAACTCAATTCTATCTTTTCCAGGGAAGTAGACTTTCAAAAGCCTATTCTCTTTTTCACGCAAAATTGTGAAGTCCACTGAAGAATAACATTTTAAACTAGTAATTATATGAAACGCTTCACGTGTAAACTTTACTTCATGGTCAAAAACCTTGAATGTCATTGAATTAGGGTCATTGCTTACAATTTTTGAAAGAAACACACAATGAATAAGTATACCACAGAACTTCACTCTTTGTAATCGAAAAAAGTTTCCGAAAATACCATCCCTCAACTTCTTCCATTGCGTGTTCGACAAGGAACTTTTTATTATTTTCTTATACTGTTAATCTCCTTTCCAATAGCTCATCGAATTACGCCAAACATCAAACTCGAAAACACGATCTCCTTCCATTAGCACACTACAAAGAAGGAAAAAGAACATAAAAAATTAGGACTAAAATCCAGGACCTAAGTAAATGCATCTTAAAGTTAAGGACAATAGGTCCTTAACTTACAGTTACAAGTTCAAAAGTTAAGGACACTTGGTCTTGAACTTCAAGTTTCAAGTTCAAAAGTTAAGGACACTTGGTCCTGAACTTCAAGCTTAAAGTTCAAAAGTTAAGGACACTTGGTCCTGAACTTTGACTTACAAGTTCAAAAGTTAAGCACACTTGGTCCTGAAGTTTGAGTTCCAAATTCAAAAGTTAAGGACACTTGGTCCTGAACTTACAGTTACAAGTTCAAAAGTTAAGGACACTTGGTCCTGAACTTCAAGTTTCAAGTTCAAAAGTTAAGGACACGTGGTCCTGAACTTAGACTTACAAGTTCAAAAGTTAAGGACACTTGGTCCTGAACTTTGACTTACAAGTTCAAAAGTTAAGGACACTTGGTCCTGGAGTTTGAGTTCCAAGTTCAAAAGTTAAGGACACATGGTCCTGAACTTCGACTTCCAAGATCAAAAGTTAAGGACACTTGGTCCTTAAAAGAAGCACAATTAACTAAAAATTCATAAACACCGTTAACTTATGAATTCGTACGACTATTTTTATGAAATATCCTTACATAATCAAATATATTGATTGAACCACAAACACATTTCAATACAAAAAAGTTCTGAATAACTTCCTCACAAAAATTCGCTCCTTATTCCACACTGATTCAAGTTATAATCATTATTTTTGAAATTTCACACATACTTGATGCCAAACACAGCATTGATCGCGATTACAGTTATACAAAAAGAAAAATGCTTAAAAGCAAAATATAAAACATACCAGTTCGCTGGTTCGATGCAGAGAAGATGACAAAGGAGAAGAGATTAAGTGCAACAAACTACACGCAGAGAATCGCTGGGCAGGAACAAAATCGAACAATGATTTGCATGCAAGGAACGATACTAATACTGAGGGAGCGAAATTTGCCTCTGAAATTTTGCCTCTGAACGTATAAAATAAGGGTTTTGGAATATAAGAATAGAAGAAAGGGTAAAATTGTCTTTTCAAAATAATTTTAATAGAGTAGTGACTATTTTTGCTCAGCATTAGAATTGGTGGATAAAAAATAAACACCACCTTATTTAGTGGCTACCACACGCCATTTTTACTTAATAGATTATCATTGCCACTTTAAAGCCCCAAAAAAAAAAAAACAATGGCAGATCCAGAATTTATGATAAGGAGATCCAAAAAAAATCCAAAAATACCGTGGATTTTATATGTATATATATTGAAGTGATTCAAAATTTTATATATGTATAAAAAAATTACCCTAATTATATGCGGTTTAACTTTTCGAATAAGGAGGTTCAATTCCTCATGAGAACTTGAAGGGTGTGCTGGAGAGTTGAAGTATTTATCGTGGAAGATCACTTGTTATTTTAATTCAATACGCATTAATTAAGATGTTTAACATCTCGGGTTTTGTATGCTATAAGTTTTCCAACCAAAACTACGTTTAGAAAAAATATTGACATAAAAAATGCTAATTTAGTTGTAGTTTGGTGTTTGTTACCCAAGATTGCCAATGACCATGTAAGTCTGCTAAACTTGGAATAATTTTAACCAATTACTAACAATATATGTACTTATGACATGATCTTAAAAGCCTTTGTATTTGTTAAGAGATGTATGAATGAAACCTCGGAGGAAATGTTATCCTTTAGGATAGGGGGGGCGAAGCACGAAGGGGTTGGATGTCTGAGTCGGTCTTGAAAACCAAAGTATTTATAGAAATATCAGGGATTCGAAACCCGCTTCGTCCGCGAGGTCATAAGTTCTCTCTTGCGTTATCTATAGATAAGAACGAATCGGATCGACTCGGCTGATATGATAGATGGAATGGGAGTTTGTGTTCTATTTAGTTAGAACCTTGTCTCCCTTTCGTTATCTTTCGCTCTCCTTGTATAGGTAGGGAAAGGGCCGGGTTGAGCAGCCAGGGATAATGAGTCGGTTGGCTATTAGAGTATAGTCTCTCTCGGGGTTATACTCTAACAGCTTTTTTTTTTAGTTATATTAACAAAGCTTTTTTTTATAGATTAAATATACCTTGATTTACAATAAAATAATTAATATAAAGGAGTATTACAATTCTCAAGGTTAATCTGACGTGTTGTTACTGAATTTTATTCACTACAAGAGTAAAGCGTCGAAATTATTTTTGTCATGTTAAATTTCGACTCTAAACTATTTATAGTAGGGTCAAAATAAATAAAACTCGAGTAAAAAGTACTCACCTTCGAATAAGTTCCCACAATGCTAACGTAAGCGGGAAAATGTTGACACGTGTCAACAACTGGCTTTGCCGCCATTCCTCAATGAATTTTTACTTTCACAACATTCCTCAATGATAAGAATTCTATCGTTATCTGTCCCTTATAATATATTAAAAGATTTATATAAAAATAAATATGTTATCTTTGATATTTTATTATGTTCTTTATCCAGACCCTTTATCATTTCATTTTAACAATTCTATGATTGCATGATTATTCATTTAAAATATTCCTTAGAAGTATATATTCCAGATACAATAATCATAAAATTATATAATATGGCTTAGAGGAGTCCCATATATATAATAAAACATACTAATCAACTTTTATTATAATCATATTAACATATCGCAATAAACATAGATAAAATTTATTGTGGCATGTTAGTCTGCTTTATATGTAGAATTTTAAGGATTATGTCTAAAGAGTATACACTGCATTCACCAACAGTATATCTCTCTCTAAGTGTTGTATTTTCTTTAGTTTCCCAGAAAAACTAACGATGCTAGATCCAAAGATGAGTGGTTCACATCCTTAAAAAAACTTCAAAATAAGGGTAACTTCTTATCAAATAAAAGAAAAAAGAAAAAAGAAACATATACAGATTAATGTACCTACCAACAATCAACTGAGAGTGGCGGGATGAGATTCCTCCTCTGTTAAACGAAAATTTTGGATTCGAGCCCTGTAAATGAAACCACAGAGTAGAGAGAGCTTTTCCTTTTAATAGATGCGGCTGGATTAGCCGCTTCCCATGGGTGCCAAATACCAAATATTATAAAAATAAAAAAGGACAAATTAATGTACGTTGCCCCAGATTCGTGAGGTAAAAGTTAAAATCTCTATTATTATTACGACATTTTTCCTAAGACTTTGGGGAAAAATTAAATAGGATACTAATTGTTCATCCATGAATGGCAATTGTTCTTTTTTGTTTTTCACTAAGAAGGGAAAAGTGGCATATAGGAGTAATACTTTTGGATTATTACCAAGATTTATATTCGAGGATGTTTGACTGGTGCAATTGATTGGTGCGCTCATTTGCAACGTACAATTAAATTATGCTCTTTAATTGGTTTCAATTATTTAGGGGAATCAAATAATATAGTAATTCAGAAGAACTGATTCTCCTTCAACAACAGTGGGTGAGAATTGAAGAAAAATGCATGCGAGGAATTCTTTTCAGCTTTTGATCTAAAGGCTCTCTTTTAAAGAGAAAATTTTAAATATTATTATAATGTTTAATTGCTTTACTACTACTATAAAAATGTTAGATCATTACTCAAATGAACCACACAAATCTTCAAGCTTGTCCATCCTCTATTTTGGTTTTATACATTCTTGTTTCCTTTGTATTATAAGGAATTTGAATTGCATTTGCTTCCTCAATTTGGAAAGAGATTTTTAATTTTAGGAAGGGAAGAAATCAAATAATGACGGTAAGAAACCATTTGTTTTGTTTGGTCCTCTTTGTTATTTCAAGATTTCTTTTATTCCTTTATTTGTCTACTCGTGGTATAATATGACACAATATGGTTCATTTAATTAAACTTACATTTCTACTTAATTAGGTTACTAGTAACTACTGACTTTATTCGTATCAGTTTGGTATAAGTTGATTACACTAGTCAAATATGTATAGTGATTATTCTTTTTTACTTAACGAAATTATTTATGGGTTTCAAATGCATGATCTACCTTATAGGGTTATAAGTCAATACTCCAATAATTGTTAGGTTAAAATCAAACAAACGAAGCTTATTCAAAATTAACACTCATTTGCTTTTTCTTTATCCCCGCCCGGAGGGCAAAAAGTATTACAAATAGGCAAAAAGAAATAATAAAAGGTATAAAAAGGAAGATTGTGATTTTTTTTTTTGCTTTCTTTTAACTTTTACTCAAAATCTTCTTAGAACTGTCGACTTTTTATGACTATGATATGATATTACTTTTAAACTACCAATAGATATTTTTGTTGATAGTGAAAAAGGTGAAAGTTGGGGAGAAACTTTAAGCCAGGATTTTTTCCTGGAAAAGTATACTATCTAGAAACGATGAAATACTAAATCATCAATTACATATTTTAAGTCAAATTTATTATTTAATACAATTAATTAATTAGCAATAATTTAATTTTAATTTATTATGTAACTATAATAATGACTTTATGCACGAACCGAATTTGCGGAGGATGTGTTAGCTAAGGGTTGGAACTTAGGAAGGGGTAGTTCATAGTTGGGAATTGATTTTGGAAAGAAAAGCAAAAATAAAATTAAAAAAAAAAAAAAAAGAGAAATGATATACTAATATTTAGAAGGCCGTAATGAGTCAACCTAACAGAAGTGGGTGGAAACAGAGGTCCAATATCTCAAGAATGGTCGTTGACTAACGCGTCTCCTCTCCTTTCTTATGTTTTTTTCCTATCACGTGGCTTACGTCTATAATGTTTCTTCTTTTTCTTTAAATAAAAAAAAACAAAATTGTTTTATTCTCCAATTTGTATGAAGAAAAGATCATGGAATATTAAAAAATTTCACTACTACTTTATGGAATTTTAATTAGTTGTTTCACTTTCGCCGTTTAGTCCTACTAAAGGTAGTTTTAACCCTCTTTTTTTTTTATTTTTTTTTCTTTTTTATTAATAATGGTAATATTAGCTTTTACGCATCAATCATCATGCATAGGTAACTAAAGATTGAATGATGCAAGTACCCAAAAAAAAAAATTATTTTTAATCTCATAAATCTCAATACATTCTCAATGTTCTCCACAAAAAAAAAAAAAAATAATAGACAGGAGTATCTTATTTATAATAGTGCAAAAATCTACTTTGATAAAAATTACTTCATAGTTTTAGTGCAAAATCTACTTTATAGAATTTTGATTAGCTTCATATGAATTTTGACAACAAAACATATTTTGAGAGATTGATTAAAGAAACAAAAATACTAAATCCCAAATAATTTCATATAAATTTTAACTACAAAACCTATTTAGAAATTGATTAAAGAAGCTATGGCCTACTTCCTATTTAAAGCCCCCTGCTCTGCATGTCTTTCTCTCAAACACACAACACTCTGCACTTATTTCAGTCTCTTCCTCTGTTACATATCTACTTATCAATCTTTACTCAGAAACTCCATAACTAAATCTTTAAAATCCCCCATCACTTTCGTGTTTCACCTTGTTTATTTCATGTTATAAAGAAAAATCCTACTTGGATACTTGCAAAATCATTGAAAAGTGTGAAAAGTTTCTCTCTTGCTCTGTCTTCTTTCAGTAGTTTAAAGTCACTTTAAAATCAGTTCGAGTTAAGAGCATAGTGTGTGGTCCAGTATTGAACTTAAAAAAGAAACATCTTTTCTCTTTTCGTGGGTAAAACAGTAGAAGAGGACTAATTAAATTTCTGTTTCTTGAAACAAAAAAAGATGGGAGATAACAACCATCACCAAGTGTTTGATGTATCCGCCAATGGCTACGGTGAATCCAAGTGTTTTGATGATGATGGTCGTCTTAAAAGAAGTGGTAGTGTTTGGACTGCAAGTGCTCATATAATTACAGCAGTTATTGGTTCTGGAGTTTTGTCATTAGCTTGGGCCACTGCTCAGCTTGGTTGGATTGCTGGTCCAACTGTTTTGCTTCTCTTCTCCTTTGTTACTTACTACACTTCTGCTTTACTCGCTGATTGTTACCGCTCTGGAGATCAAGTTTCCGGCAAAAGAAACTATACTTATATGGATGCTGTCCGAGCCAATCTTGGTATATAAAATTTCTCTCTTAATTTTATGTGAAAAATTTGTTGTTTAGTGTTTATGTTTATATTGATTTGGGTGTTTTTGTTTTGAATTCAGGTGGGCTTCAGGTGAAGATTTGTGGGGTAATTCAGTATGTGAATCTTTTTGGAGTTGCAGTTGGCTATACTATTGCATCTTCTATTAGCATGATGTAAGTACTAGTAGTTTGGTATTCGACAATTGCAGCACTGCTTTTTTGTTTTTGAAACCGCCGTGAAAACAGCGTCTTGCAGAAATAGGCTGTACAATAGACCCTTGTGGTTCGGCCCTTCCTGGATCCCGTGCATAGCGGGAGCTGAGTGCACCGGGCTGTCCTTTTTCTGGTGGCTAATATTATTTTAACTTGTGAATGAATTTACAGGGCTGTGAAAAGGTCTGATTGTTTCCATAAGCATGGACACAGAGCAGCTTGCAATGTTTCAAGCACTCCATACATGATTATGTTTGGAGTAATGGAAATCCTCTTCTCACAAATCCCAGATTTTGATCAGATTTGGTGGCTTTCTATTGTGGCTGCTGTTATGTCTTTCACATACTCTACCATTGGTCTTGGTTTAGGAGTTGCCCAAGTTGCAGGTCTGTTGAAATTTACCTTTTTTTACCTTCAAAATCTTGCAATTTTAGCTACTGTTTTACTCACTCTCTTATGTCATTGCCCTGCCTTTTGAATTACAGAAAGAGGAAAAATCCAAGGAAGTCTCACTGGGATTAGTATTGGAACTGAAGTAACTGAAATGCAGAAGATTTGGAGAAGTTTTCAAGCTCTTGGAGCTATTGCCTTTGCTTATTCTTACTCCCTCATCCTTATTGAGATTCAGGTAAAAAAAAGTTACTAGCTTAGAGGAATTATATTGACATGTCTCATTCCAATTTCTTGAACAAAAGGGGATTCCAATTTCTTGAACAAAAGGGGCAGCCTCGTGCACTTAGCTCCGCAAGGGTCTAATTGTACATAGTCTTACCCTGCATTCTTGCAAGAGACTGTTTCCACGGCTCGAACTCGTAACCTCCTGGTCACATGGCAGCAACTTTACCAGTTACGCCAAGGCTTCCCTTTCTTCTTGAACAAAAACAGAATGTAATCATTACTGACTTAATTTGTTGAATAATTTATAGGATACACTGAAAGCACCACCATCAGAAGCCAAGACAATGAAAAAGGCAACACTACTTAGTGTGGCAGTAACAACAGTATTCTACATGCTTTGTGGCTGCTTTGGATATGCAGCATTTGGAGATCAATCCCCTGGAAATCTACTAACCGGATTTGGATTCTACAACCCTTATTGGCTTCTGGATATCGCGAACGTAGCCATTGTTGTCCATCTAGTTGGTGCATACCAAGTTTACTGTCAACCCCTTTTCGCCTTTGTTGAAAAAACAGCATTTGAATGGTACCCTAGCAACAAATTCATCACGAAAGAGCTCGATGTCCCAATCCCTGGCTTTAAGCCTTTCAAGCTCAACCTTTTCCGTTTAGTTTGGAGGACGATTTTCGTGATCATTACAACAGTTATTTCTATGTTGATGCCATTCTTTAATGATGTTGTTGGAATTCTTGGAGCTTTTGGATTTTGGCCACTTACAGTTTATTTCCCAGTGGAAATGTACATTGTGCAAAAGAAAATTCCGAAATGGAGTGCAAGGTGGATTAGTCTTCAAATACTTAGTGCTGCTTGCCTTGTTATATCAATTGCTGCAGCTGCTGGTTCTTTTGCTGGAGTTATTTCTGATCTAAAAGTTTACAGGCCATTTAACACACCTAATTAAACATTTGGGACTCACCAATTATTGTTATTAAACAAGGCCTGAAGAGGTTCTGACCAGCAACAAGTTGTTATTGTGTAGGTTTTTTTTAGTTCAATGACAAGAAGAAAAAAAGGCAGGTCCTTTTTATGTATTTATGTACAACTCTTATTTCACTGCAAAGATGAAATAGGAAATTGAATTCTGTGCATTTCAACTTTTCTCTTGAAATTTTGTCTTATTATTTGGATAGAATATCCTTGAGGTGAAATCATATACTGATGGTCAACATATATAATTGCAAAATGATTACATAATAAAGTTGTCTTTTAGTAACCCGTGAATCCATAATTGGTTTCTAACATTCTAATAAAAACGAAATAGCATGTTAGAACTGGGAAACATTAGGACTGGACAAGTCATTATACCGTATAGTCAATAGATTCGTTTGATTTGGGCAATTATTTTACCTAACTTAGAGTCATAGCTTTAAAATTGTTTTACTATCTTTTTAATAAAATTAAATTCACCATGTGTTTATAATCTTACCAATAATATACTTAATCACGTAACGTAATTGTGCATTTGAGGTGTAAAATGCATGAATATGATTTTTAGTCTTTGACTGTGTTTGATCATGTACATATTGCCTAGAGTGGTTTTGAATCATGTTAAAAAGTGTTTTTGCTTTAATTTGAATCATGTAGCTTAGCTCTATTGCGCTGGAGCGGAAGCTATAGCGCCAGGCCAAAACCAAAATACTAAAAGGGAAGAAAATAACGATGTTTTAACCTACGACTTCAAAACCAATAAGTATATGAGTTTAAATAAGTAATTCTTCAATTTCATGTTAGGTGACACAATATAATAAAAGAGAGTACAAAATATCGAGAGAACAACCTTACAAAGAGGCAAACACAAGTGACACACTAATACTTATCCCGTAAAGTTCTCCCCCTAAACACGACTCTAAAACCCCATATGGCTACATTGTGGATGCTGCTGAATGAGAAGGAAGGATCCTCAATTTATAGAAGTCTAAACCTTTTCCTACCAGAAAAAGGACCAGCCAAATATGAGAGATTTGTGTTTCCTTCTAAGAATAGGAAAACTCAATTATGGTAAACATGTTGCATTTTCCTTCAAGAGATGGGAAAACCAAATACGGTAAGAAAATCAGGACACTTCTAACAATTCTTCCCCTTGGCTTGAATTTTCTGACAAAATAACCTTGATCCACCTTCTTCACACAACCTTCAATAGGTTGCATCTCCAAATCTCCACCACAAAATTTGTCTCAACGTGAGTTATACTCCGGTCAAATTTCTTAGAGAAAAATCTTGATTACCGTTAGATAGGTTGCAGCTAGAACTAAACCTGCCAAGATGAATCTGTCTTGAACCTCGCTCTGATACCACCTGTTAGGACCAAAAATATTAGGTGTCATGTGGAAGCTAGCAAAGCAAACCTTGAACAACGATAAATTAGACAATAAAAGAAAAATATACCAAAAGAGACACAAATATTTAACGTGGTTCGGTCGACTGACCTACGTCCAGGACGGAGATGAGCAATTCACAATAATAAAAGAGAGTACAAAATATCGAGAGAATAACCTCACGGAGAGGCAAACGCAAGTGACACACTAACACTTGTCTCGTAAAGTTCTCCCCCTAAACACGACTTTAAAATCCCATATGGCTACATTGTGGATGTTGCTGGATGAGAAGGAATGATCCTCAATTTATAGAAGTCCAAACCTTTTCCTACCAGAAAAAGGCCTAGCCAAATATGGGAGATTTATGTTTCCTTCTAAGAATAGGAAAACTCAATTATGGTAAACATGTTGCCCTTTCCTTCAAGAGATAGGAAAACCAAATATGGTAAGAAAATCAGGACAACTCCTAACAGTGCCAACAGATAATATCAGATCAATTATATTATAGAAAATATGTACATAAAATACCTAGTTTGACGGAGAAACCATCGGTTCACGTGCCCTATGTATTAGCCTATAAATCAGCCCCCGCTATTCAGTATCATTTTTTTTACATAGCAAACCATGGCATTAGCAATACCATAATTTTTCATACATGGATAAGTATGGATAAAGACAAAACTGCACTTTCTTAATCTTTAATACACCAAACCAAATAGTCGATAAGAAATATCTCAGCATAACTAATCACAATATAACTAATCCAGCATTACTAATCCCAACATTAATAATATTGTAACTAATAATACAATGTTTTTTCCCCTTAAATTTTGTGTCGAATTAAATTACTTTCACATAAATTGAAATTGAGGGAGTGTGAGTTGATTATGCATATATTCCAAAAAATGCATGACATGACCCATACATCTAACTGTTTTCTCACGAAGCATGTTTTCAAAAGCTAGAATATCCATGTACGGCCTTTGATTGAGTTTCGACTCATTGAATTGATGAATTCACCTCTTGTATCATTGGCGCTTTATCTTATGTACGTTTGCTTTTTTCTTTCTAGACATCAAGTTGTACCTAAATGTCAAATTGAACTCTTAATATAATTCTAATATTTGAGAACTTATTCTCAGATGGGGTTACTAGTTGTTTCAAATTTGAATTATGAAATTTCAAGGTAAAGGGTTGTGACATGTTACAAATGTAGATATGTAGCGCATACATTTGATAGTTGGTGCCTTAATTTCTAGGAACCAGCCAAAGTGCTCTTTTGACTAAAAAGGACTATATATTATATGTAGTTGTAGCCACCCCATAACATTCCATCATTGGGTCTTTCTCTTATTGATGAAATCCGATTTGATAATTGACCTATGGGTGAGCAAAATTGTCACATTGAGATCTTGTACTCAATAAAAAAGATATGTACTTTTTGGAAGGATGCTAAGAAGAAAATTCAAAGGACCACTTTTGTGCTTATTCTCTTTTTTTTTGTAAAACTGAATACAAACAGTGGACATGGGTCACAATCCATCAACATCAAGAAAGAGGGCACGAAACTTCAAAACAATAATTCAAAGTTCCAAAAGAGGTTTTGGAAATGGATGGAGGAGGAGAAGTACAAAGTTATAAAGTATGGGAAGTATCTGGTGAGAATTACCAATGAAAGTGACAAGTACCAAACATTGTAAATTCACAAAAGGAAGAGTGGGGGAATGAGGTGCTTGATAAAGGCCATATTAAATCTTCAAAAAGATTTGATACTCGAATGATGATTGCTTTGTTACTATTCCTCCTTATGAGGTTGTCCTTTAAAACATGGAGGAACCAATAGAATTTAAAGACAACTTTGTCAGGACAAAAACTTTGGAGCAACGGTAAAATTGTCTTTGTGTAATCTAAAGGTCAGGGTTAGTGCCGTGGAAGCAATCACTAATGTTTGCATTAGGATATAAGTTATCTATATCACACCCTTGGGGTACATGCGGCAATTCCCCGAACCCTGTGTGAATACGAGATACTTTATGCACCAAACTGCCTTTTTTTATGGACACTAGTATTAAAACATATTTTGTGTCTAATAACTTAGGTAATATCTCTAACACTAGGTATACTCAGAAGCGGAGATAGAGTTCTAGCTGCGAATTTGACAGAAGCAAACATTTTTTGGCCAAAATTTAGTATTTGTATTAAGAAATTTAATTATACGTATAAATAATTTATTTAGACCAGTAAACCTCCTTTTCTAGAATCAATAACGCTTACTCTCAAAATTCTGGATTCGCCTATCGGTATACCTAAAGACTTGAGCATTGACGAAACAAGATGCAGCACACACTTGGAGCTAAGCTGTTGGTCATATTATAAGTGGAAGTTGATAAGTGGTTATGTAATAGCAACTTCAACTTATAAAGACTACTACTACTATTTTTCCATATAGGTTTACTTTGTTATTAATTCCATGTAATGTAATCCAAAAATTTGTAAGGGTCGGCCGCAGCCGCAGCTTTAGTGGAGGCGTGGAGCCAAAGGAAAGCACGTGACCGTCCAATGTGTTGTGTGCACTAAATAATACTACTAATTATAATATATTTCCTTCTAATTTCTTTTTAAAATGTAATATTACGAGACTATGAGTGGGTTGGTAATGAGTCTATAAACTTCAACTTTGGTTACTTTATTTAGCTTTGATTTGTCCCATAAAGGTCTCCAATTTATTAATTTAGCATTAATTTGTATTGCATAAAGGAGCATAAGAAGAATCTTCCAAGATTCAAGGGAAAGTAAAATACTCCTTTTTTATGTAAAAGTTTATAAAGGTGTTCTGATGTAAGGTAATGCTCATAAGTTTTTACGAATAAATAAATGTGGCACTTGAGTGGGACACATTTGAGTCAACCTATAGATTATGATAATTAATGAGAAAATAAATAACTCAACTTTGTGTAATCATGTGGTGTGCAGTTTTAATGTCAAATACTTCATGTAGTTGTAAATTAAACGTCACTGAATTCTTTAGCTAGCCACTTCTGAAATTTTGCATCTGAACTTAGTGTTAGATATACAAAATGTTGCTAGAAAAGGGCAAAACAGGAGAGATTTACAATATAGTACCATGATATTTTTATCTTTTAGTGATTTAATTTTTTACGTTTAGGCCGAAGTAGATATATTTGTGAGCGTTGCTGTGTTAAAACACAAAATCAGAAAAAGAAAAAAAAAATTGTTAGAAGAATTAAAGAAATCTGGAAAATAGTAGAGAATCAGAAATATTCCGAGTCCACAAGTTTCTTGTGTGTCCTTAAGGAATTTTAACCCCCTCACAAGTTGCCAAGGTAATGGATTAAATCCTCCCAGGATAAAACGGAATAAACCTTCCTGCAACAGTGGCAATACAAACTGCAGGATCCCAATGAACTCAAAGAACGGAGCAAAATCACACTTACGAATTGGAGAGAGAGAGAGACTGCGAATTAGGATGCAGTATATTCAAAAAGAAAGAAGTTCTGGAGTGTTTTTCGTGTGTAGAAAATGGAGCCTTGCCTCAGAATTTATAGGCAATTATCAGAAGAGGTGTCTGGAAAAGGTGCCTTTTCAGAAGAATACGCTGCCTGCCGCGGTTCTACCGCGGTTACGGAAGAACCGCGGTCAGAGAGTCCCACTGAATCTTCAGCAGGGTTCTGGCGTATTTTCAGCAGTGATTTGGCATTTAATTAATTATTAAATAATTAAATAAATTTTGTCCAAAAATAATCTTATCGATCGATCATTTGACAAATCCAAA